AGAAGGCTTGAGTCAGGGGCCACAGATGGCACTTAAACCCAGGTCCTTTGAGGTGAAACTTGTATGTCCTGACTGGCATCCCAACTGCTAAGCCAAACATCCTCCCCTATTGTCATTTCTTATTTACTTAATGCCAACGTTGGGTGTGGAGTCACTGAGAGAAGGGGCTGCGTGGGGCCTATATCATCTCTCTAGCCTGTGACATGGGTTCTTGTGCAAAGCATTGCTCAAAAATATTTATAGAAGGAAGGCTGACTTAATAAAATATTGAGCACAAATTGCCTGCTAGCTATATACCTTCTTTTTAATGTGAATCTTTCAAATGATATTTATTTCTAAAGCAATATAAGTGAATAAAAAAAGTGAGCTGCTTTTGTTTACAAGGCAAACTCAGCATAGCTTCTACACCTAAACTAGCACCCTTCCAAGAGGTGAGAAGGCAAACACTCTGCCAGGGCAAGTGGCCTCAAGATTTCTAAAACTTTGGCAGAACTGAAACACTTCATAGCACATAGCACATTCTTTGGAACCTTCTCTGGTGTGGGGGTGTGGGCATTTGTTTCTTGAGGGCAGATTTGGTTTTTGGAAACAGATAAAAGCTACTTGGCAGCAAGTCTAGTGAATGAGGTGAGTGATCAAACTAAGAATATTATTTTTGGTTTCAAATAAGGTGTGATTATAAAGACGTAAGGCTGGTTTTCTTGTATGGCACATCTACTGGCTCAACAGTAGTTCCAGAAGAGGGCTTTCAAAAATGCTGTGGCCTTGGCAAGAGTAAAGTGTTTCTCTATCTTAACATGCTCACGCTTTCTCTCTCTCTCTCTCTCTCTCTCACACACACACACACACACACAGAATTGTGGCACAGGGACATAGACAAGTAAAATAAGATAAAAACTCTTGCAATTTATTTTTATTAAAAGAGTCATCTGTTTGAAAGAGTGACAGAAGCAAATCTTCCAGCCATTAGTTTACTCTGCAAATTCCAGTATCAACTGGGCCTGGGCCAGGCCGAAGCCAGGAACCCAGACTTCCATTTGGGTCTCCCACATGAGTGGCAGGGGCCCAGCTTCTTGAGCCATAACTGTATGAGTAGTGAGCTGGAAAGACAGCAGAGAAGCCAAGCCTGGGGCCAGGCTCTTTGAAATGGGATGTGGGTATCCCAAGCTCCGACTTCACTCACTGCACTAAATGCCTGCTCTGGAACTGCAGTTTTAAACAGCAATTGCATGAGGCAGGCATTGTGGCACAGGAGGTTGAACAGGCTTGGGGTGCCTGCATCTTATGGGAGTGACTAGAATGGAGTGCCAGCTACCCTACTTTCCACCGAGCTTCCCTCATGACATACTTCAGAGACGATGAATGATGGCCCAAGTGCTTGAGTTTCTGCCTCCCATGTTGGAAACCTGAATAGATTTCCTGGTTTCTGGCTCCAGTCTAGCCCAGCCCTGGCTGTTGTGGCTATTTGGGGAATGAACTAGCAGATGGAAAATCTTTTTCATTCTGTCTTTCAAAATATGTTTTTTTTTTTTTTAAAAAATCATTTGTGTGAGTATGGGATGAAAGAGTGCTGGCTCAATAGTCAGTCTTTCAGAAATATTCCAGGGGATTAGGTGGCCAGGGCTTCATCCTGCATTAGAGTGTGATGTGATTGCTAATCAAGTGTATCCAAACTGTCCTGGTCGTATTCCTCAGCTTCAATGGGTGCATAATGACCAAGCATCCTCTCAGCTCTGGCTCCAGCTGCCATCATGTGTTCATCTGTGGGCCTGATGGCATGAGACGAGCTCCATCCTACTGGGCCATGGATCAGGGCTGCCACTGTCTTGAAATGCAAAAATCGCAGAAGAGGCAACTCAGTGATTAGAAATAACTGTTGAAGGCCAGCAGGGTGTTATTTTAGTCTCATGATGTTCTTCTGTGGAAGATGTAGACCAGTTGGGAAAATAATAGAAGGTAGATTTGATATCATCCTTATAAAGATTGGTGTATCTTTATAGAATTCTATGTTTAGGATATTTCTGAGTGTGGATATGTATATGCACAGGGCAAAAAAAAACCCCTAATGTATATACATCATATTTAGTATTAAGTATTTATGGGCATGAAATTATGGGGAAAGCTGCACTGAAAAAATTTCTGTGATGTTTTGTTAGAACATTTGTGACATGTATACTTGTGTACTGATAACCTTTTAATTTGGCAAAACATAGTTCTGCTTAAACATATTAAGTGTCCAGCAATCAAACAGGTTGCTTTGTGACCTATTAACACATTATCTCGGGAGCTAATCAAGCAGGCTGTGGGGTGATCTAGGCGGTCACTTTCTGTCATGGGGCTCAGTGTCGTGTCATTGTGATGAATTAACGCTGGTCAAGTACCAGAGTATAGTGGGAGGAAGCTCCTGTGTGCACCCAATGAGAAGGGATGCTGGGAAGTTCCACCGAGATGGGTCAACTTTCCAGCTGCCAGGCCTCCTCTTTTGACAAAATCGTCATCTCAACATAGTTCAAGTCCAGGAAGTTCACATTGAAGGCTAAGATAAACATCTCAAAGATGAAAAACCACTAACTGGCTGTAAAACTCAATTCTGAGCAAGAGTAGTGCCAAAAAGATAGGGGGAATCCAAAAAGGCCCAGACTGAAAGGGGCCAACCATCATGACATTGTAAATGTCAGTAGGAGATAGTAGATTTGGCGCGTTTGCTAAATGTACATGGGGAAAGCTGCACTGTCATCCATTTTAATTGCACTCATGTGGATGAAGCCAGTAGGCCTTGGACGTTCTGAGCGCATTGTCTTCAGGCCTGTGTCCCTTGGCCTGGGTGGACAGACAATAGCTGGCAGACAGAAGAACAAGACAGCAGAAACACTGGCTGTCTTGGGTCATGTGCTGGGAACTGCTGAAGCACATTAAACAGGATCATATGCTGGACAAGTCTAGGAATTATGGGGGGGTGGGCGGTGGATGGCGGAGGGGAGACAGGTAATTATGAAACAAACCCCACTGAAATACAAAAACAGTAGGGATCTCAAGCAGAATTGGCTGCTTTTCCTTTTGAGTCTCACTAATTGTTCCAAGTCACTAAAATCAGCTTAACAAATCCAACTGACTGTGGCTTGAATTCCAACATCAACTAAAGGAAAACACGAGACAAAATATTTCCCCTTTGTGCTTGCAGGCACTTTTGCTAAGGGACAAAAAAATGTACACTGGAAACCTGTGTTCTGGAGAAGTCTGGTCCAAGTGTGATGGGCACAGCAGGAGGGGGATGGTAAGTTGTGAGAATCTGCAGCTTCTGCTTCCCGCATGGTGACCTGTTGCCATTGGGCTGAAATCGGAGACCCTTACTGGGACCACCTCCTAAAATCAAAGGGGCTTTCTCCATCCATTCCTCGACCTCTGCTCACATCCCTTCCCTGCATTTTATTCTTCCTCAGACTTACCAGGAGGGAACTGAGCTCACGCCATTCAGAAAGCATCAACAATGTCTCTGTTGCCATGGGCTGGGTGACCTACATGCACAAAAACGGCCAGTTGGCTTTTCCCCAGCTTCCTTCGCAGCAGAATGTCTAGTTCTCAAGGTCAGTGCCATCATAACTTGCCATTGTAGATGTCAAAAAGCAAATTCAAGTGATCGTGCTGGGCTTATGACCAATGGAAAGCTCTGTGCTGTGGTTCCAGACCTTTAGTCCCATTGGAGCAGAACATTGAACCTGTTTTGTTTTTTCCCCCACTATCCCCAACTTCTGGGATGGCATCCAAAATGCAACAGATTTTGCAAAACCTTGTTGTTGGAATATATACATGCTAAAGATGCCCAACTGAGGCCATGAAAGCTTATTCCTAGTCAGGCTCACTGATAACTTACCCAGGGCAACTTGCCATGCATGGGTGGCAGGCTGAGGAGAGGGAGGTGATAGCAAGCCAGAACCAGCAGCATAGAAGCAAGGGGGATTAGTTCTTTGCACTGTTTCACCCATATTTTTGGGTTAGGACCTGTAGGAAAGTGTGTAACTGTTGCATGAGCCACACAGAGCATTTCTTGGCAAAGTGAAATTTATTCCAGACCAGAGGCCAGGGAAATTCTTTGGTGAAATTTTTTGGTTTCATAGACCTCTCCAACCAAGGACTACTTTTAAAGATTTATTTAGCTTTATTGCAAAGTCAGATATACAGACAGGAGGAGAGATGGAGAGGAAGATCTTTCATCCAATTATTCACTCCCCAAGTGACTGCAACAGCCAGTGCTGCACTGATCTGAAACCAGGAGCCATGAGCTCTTCCAGGTCTCCCATGTGGGTGCAGGGTCCCAAGGCTTTGGGCCATCCTCAACTGTCTTCCCAGGCCACAAGCTGGGAGGTGGATGGGAAGTGGAGCTGCTGGGATTAGAACTGGCATCCATATAGAATCCCGGTGCATTCAAGGTGAGGACTTTAGCTGCTAGGCCACTGCACCGGGCCCCAACCAAGGGCTTTAACAGGAATTGGTAGATGTATGCTGGGGAGGGAGTGGCTTTGTGGCCTAAGGTAAGTTTCTTCTTTAAGATTTATTTATTTAATTGGTTTATTTAGTGTTTGATAGGCAGAGAAAGAGAGATCTTCTGTTGGTTGATTTTCATTCCCCAAAGGGTTGCTTGAGCCAATCTGAAGCCTGGAAACCTCTTTCATATCTCCCATGGGTGTGCAGGGGCCCAAGCACTTGGGCCATCGTCCGTTGCTTTCCCATACCATTAACAGGGAGCTGGATCAGAAATGGAGCCACCAGGACTTGAATCAACACCCATATGGGTTTTATATACGGAGGCTTAGGCTACTATGCCCTGGCATTGGCCTTTGAGGGTCAGTTTTGAAACCGAAAAGATAGGTGGAAAAATACATTGCAAGCATCCTGCTGGGCTGGGCCTGAGGGGATTCTAAGGAATTGGAAGCAGGTTGGGAAGAAGCATTATGTGGTCACCATATAAGAGGACTTGCCAAAAGAAAAAAAGACCCAACACATTTTATTTGATCATTTATTTATTTTTTTTAAAGAAATCCATGCAAAGAGAGAGAGAAAGACAACATGGAAACCATGTTCTAGCAGCCAAACATAGGAAAATAATTTGGCACAGTTGGTTTTTACCTTTTCTGCAAAAGTACAATCTATCCTAACACTAAAATTAGCTTCCTCATAAAGATGCCACTTTGATTTTCGAAGACATCACATGGGGTTGGTCCTCTACTGAATGGCTGGAGGAAGTAAACAAGATAAAAAAATAGAAAAAAAATAAGGAGGTGGTTTCCTTTATAGAGGGGGAAACCACGGGGTGCTGCAGGGCAGCACAGGGGCTGGGCACTAAAGTCAGTGCACCAGCAAGAAAAAGCACACCACATAAATGGCCACGGTGGTGAGAAGCTTCAGGGGGGACTGGGTGTGGCCGCGGTTCTGCGAGGCGATTAGCTCATTGTCCTTCGGATTCATGTGTTGCTTGCTTCCAGGAGCATCATCCGCGTCCAAATCGTAAGCCAGTTCTGCCAAAAGAAGAGGAGAACGTGAAATGCAGGCGTGCCCACAGCATCAGGTAGACATTTCTCATAGCTCAAGTGCTTGTCTCAAACTGCTGGGAAGGAAGCCCTGGTTCTCCTTCTTTCTTTGGAAAGAAAGGGCGCTAGGAGATGGGAAGAAGATGGGAAGACATGGAAAGAGATCAGGACACAGCTATAAATGATTCCTTCCAGCGGTCATAGCAAGAGGGAGTGAATAGATAGCAACCCCCCATCCCCACCTGCCTGAGGTTGTGTAGGTTGGTTCTGTGAAATATCTCCCAGACGTGGCTATGCTTGAAGGTCATTTTAATGTGTATGTGGAAGGGAGAGCGAGTGAGTGGGCAAGATATTCTATCTATTGGTTTATTTCCCAAATACCCCTAACAGGCAGCAGCTGGGAAGTCAATGTGAGCCTCCTATGTGAGTGGTAGGGACCCAAATACTTGCGCCATCACCTAGTGTATATCAGCAGTACCAAGACTTGGAGCCAGGCATTCCAATAAGGGATGCAAGTTCACAAGCCCTGTCTTAACTGCTGCAACAAACACCTGCCACTGCATTTGTGTCTTTGTATGTATACTTTTATGGGTCCTATACTGCATATACTTTCCCTTGGGTACTTAAAAAAAAGTTTCATTATATTTGAGTTTCAGAAAGCCAGGAGGAGGGAGTAGGGAGAGGTTTTCCATCTGCTCATTTACTCTCCAGATGGCCATAATGGCCAGGCCAAAGGCAGGGGCTTCTTCCAGGTCTCCCACATGAGTGCAGGTGTCCAAGCACTTGAGATATCTTTTGCTTATTTTTCAGACATATTATCAGGGAGCTGGATGGGAAGTTGAGCAGCTAGGATTTGAACTGGTGCCCCTGAGGCAGCAACTTTACCTGCTACACCACAATACTTGCCCAGATATTTTGCTTTAAATTAGGGTTGAGGATATGGTAGTTTTGACTTTGAAGCTTACTTTACTTTTCCCTAATAGTTCTTTTTATTGGTAGGTTTTTTTTTTTCCCTGCTGCTGCCTCCTACAAAAAGATCTCAAACAAAGGATTTAAAGTGATATTAAGCACACTGAGACTGACAAAGAGGTGAGGAGTAAGGCTATTTCATTTTTTGACTGCCTACCAATCACAGATATGTTCAGGTTTCTGAAAAGCTATTACAGTGCTCTGGGGTGGGTCTAATCCACAGATCTCACAGAAGGCAAATCTAAGCAGGTCGTGGTTTATCAAGCAAATTCAAGATCCATTTCTTTCGGATTTTGTTTTTCAAATCTACTCTCTTGGTACTTCTGGATTCCATGGCCAATGATTCTGTCTCACTGTTTTGTGAAGGTGCCGGTGATGTGAGTAGCCTCACCCGCAGCCAACTGTCCTGTGGCCAAAGGGGGCCGGAAGGATCCCTTTGGGACACTGAGATGCAATAGTGACAGGCACAGAGGAAATGACTGAGATTCTGCAGAAGGAAGGAAGGGGAAGGGAGAGCTCCTCTTACAGGGGATGGAACACTAAGTCACAGGAAGAAAGCATGGGGACACAGCACACAGCTGATGTGTGCCCATCAGGGCTCGGGCCCCAGGGCTGCTTGGAGGCAGGCAGCAAGGTCAAGGGGATCTCCGATCACAGACAGTGATGACACTTTCTAAAGCCAGCTGCAATGAGAAGGAAATGTGCCTCAATGGAGAGAAAAGATTTTCATCAATCAGATGATATTGTAAGGTCTCTTTAAGTTGCATATACTTGATGACCATGTGGATGAACTTTTTCTGTCGTTTTCGTTTAGTCTCCATGTATTATATAGTTCATATCCTTCTGAATCCAACATGGATTGATACTTTTTCTACTCATTTGGAATAACAGTCAAAGCAAATATGTTCCAATTTTGTTACTAATTCTTTGTATAAACAATATCCTAACTTTTAATCTATATGAACAAGATTATATTTCCTTCCATAAAAGTGGAGTTTGTGTTCCTGAGTGCTGACAACAACTGAATTCAACTTTTCTGGGAATCCTCTTATCCATGCAAAACCAATATTGTAAACCTTATGATCTGGATCTCACATGCCCAAAGAAATAGAACAAAGAGTATCATTGCTCTCTTTGGAAACTAAACCCCTTTCTCTAAAAGGTGAACTATGCAGGGCACACAGAGAAGGACGAGGTCAGCTGTCAGTCGGCAAGGACAGCCCGGGCTTAGGTCACGATCGGGTTTCACCCAAGTGGAGGGCACATATGGCTGACTCTGTTGAAAGCCCTTCCTTGAGTCCTATGGCAACTTCGCTACTTTAATGAAGCAGAGTATTTTTAGGGTTGACCTGAATGAGAGAGCTCTCATACTGCTCTCTGATTCCTTTGCTGGGTGATGCCTCTTGTCCAGCATCGAGAGGAAAGAGCATCTATTATTGTGACTACTCAGTTCCTGCATGAATTGTTTTGCTCTTCAAATACTCCCCCCTATTAGTTTATTTTTTTCCTGTAGCACTTATGGTAAGTCCAGCACTTTTAAACCACCAAATATCTTTTTGTTATTTGTATCCCCTGGGCTCTGTTTTGAAATTTCAGCAAGGAACCTCCTGTTAATGCCTTTCATACAATGAAAATTCAGTATGTTATGCTGTTTATACGCATTATCTCATTTAATTTACCCTTCTCCAGTGTTACACAGTAGCCATTATTTCCATGTTACTGGTAAGCAGGCTCAAATTCAGTTTAATTATTTTTCTCGTATTTTCACAGCTGGTAAGTGGCAGAGGGGCTATTGGAATCCAGCTCTGGCTCTTACATGTGAAACTGTATTGCCTCTTGAAAAATTATGCATACAGAAGACACAGCAGTGATTAACTCGTAATGGATTACTTCTTAGAAAAAATAATTGATTAGTAAAAAACACACAGCCAAAGAGAACACCCCCAAAGCCAGGATTTACACATAAAACAGACCACATATTTGATTATACAGTCCTGTTGATCTTTGTGAAATACTGCAAGAGCTCCGGCTTGGAGGATCTGGAATGAGGATTATCCTATCAGTCTATTTCCCTGAGGCAATCAAAGCTGACCTGGGCCATTAGCCATTCCTGGAAGAAAGCTGAGTCAAATATCCAATCTCCAGAGTTCCTAGGGAAATTTCAGGATGTTATCTCCTTATGTTCCTTAAACTGTGGCTACAGACTTCCTGAGGCTCACCATTCAGGAATATCAAGTTTTATAACCCAATTCCCTGATCAGGCTCCTGTGGCCTTTGTTAATGGGAATCTCTGCATAGCTATCCTCTGGGCCACCAACCTAAAGGTCAGATGAATGGGGACAGCTTAGTGTAACAAAGATGCCTTATGGGAAGCAGAAGAAACAGGATTTTGATCAAAGATAAACATGATTTGAGATCCCTGCACAGGGTAATTCAATGTGATCCAATAACCCAGGCTAGCCTGCAGTCTAGAGCACAGGGGTTGGAAAAGCCTTGGCGTGTGTCTTCAGGAATCCTACACCCTGGCAAGGGAAACAGATCTTCTTCAGGCCAACTAGCTTCTTGGCTCAAAGGTACAAGCCAAAGACCGCTGGGTAGAAGGGAGAGAAATTCCAAGCTGAAGGATCTGGGTGGACTTTTTTGAAATCCTCGTGATATAATATACCCCAGGAAGGTTGAGGAGTAGTGAGCTGTGGCAGGGCTGAATGAAGTGGCCATTCCAGGCAGATGGTTTGGCCTAAGCAAACTCAATACTGTCAGAAAACATAGGGAAGGCACAGTTAGGAGCTATGAGAATCCTCTAGGGGGGATCGAGACTGTGGAATGTGCGCATGTGCAGTGGCAGGTGAGGAAAGGCAGATAAGGCTGGATGGAGCAGTCAGTGCCCAATCATGGTAGAGTGGGAATGCCGCAGGTATTGTACGGGCAATAAGACACCACCAAAGGCTTTTAAGTAAGGAAACCTCCCCATAATATCTTGTGTTTTTCAGAAAGATCACTGTTGACACTGCAGAGAATCACCCTAAGTGGGAAAGACCCTTCAGGGGCGCAGTCTTGGAAAACAACTGCATCTGGGCATGAGCCAGTAGCAGATACAAAAGTCTTCAACAAGAAACCTCCAAAGCAGCTAAACCTACACCAGACCCAAGACTTTCAAGATTGTGGTGATTACCAGAATAGGCATGGTTTGTAACAAACCATTCATCTTTTTATGTGTAACACTTTTTTTTTTGGCAGAACATACTTTTGTTCTATTATGTGCATGTTGTACAACACACACAAATTGTTTCTATTCTTGAAGTTGATCATCAGTGAGAACCTTTTTCTTCAGGCCAAGAAGGAAGAGAGTTTCTATTTGTAAACAGTTCAGCTACTCCTAGAGACCCAGAGGAAACCCTCAGTACCCTGTACTCATTATGCATATCCTACCCTGATTATCATTCCACCTGCATGTGCTTTGACTTGCAGATTAGGTGATCATTTAAAACAGTCACCAGGATCTGTACTGGGAGGCAGCGCTTTCTTGTCCTTAGCAATTCTTCCTGCTAAAGAAGCCTCTCAGGTAAGAAGGCTACAGTATGCTGGCTTGGCTGCTGGTTTACTCTGTCCTTAGATAATTTCTTCATCTGGAAGTCGGGGCACCTTCTTAGTTGCCTTCTTGTTTCAGTTCTGATTCCAAGGCTGAGGGGGGCACAGTCTAAGGCAGGCTGCTATCATTCCTTCCATGTGAGCAGCCAAGGCAGCTGGCCCCAACAGAACCTCCCTATGCAAGCTGTGTCCATCAGTTGCTCCTCTGGGGATGTTTTCTCTGGTGGTGGTCATCATTTACCCAGTTCTGAATCCTCCTCCTCCTGCTGATCTGATCTTGGGGTGAGAGACCCTTGGCACAGTAACAACTTCCACTGAGGCTAGCATACATGAAGCTTGTGAGGAGGGGAACAGAAGTTGTTGACGGGGTACATGGAGCAGGGAGGAACTGTCAACCAGGGAGACGAGCTTTGGGGCATTTGCCAAGTCAC